AAAATTGTTACAACAGCCTCTGATTTATTTAGCCACTCTTACAGTGGCCTATTAAAATTGTAAGCATGATTTAGTCATAAAATACTTGATTTCAGTGAAAGTGTTAACCGCATGCTTAAATCTTTCCCATTGAAAGCAATTAAGCTTAAATGCTGAACTGTGGTTGGGAGTGTGCCATTTCCTCCATAGTGTCACATTTTCAATAAAAAAGTTGTATTTCTATCTTGTAATATTGAATCATAAAAATTATATAAAACAATATTTGTTCCTATTTCAATCAAACTATCATGGTTATCTCTGCAAATGTATTTTTTTCTCTGTGGATTCTGAAAGTGGAATCTCAAGGTTTTTTTCTTTAAAAAAATAGTAATATTGGAATGATTATGCAGCATTTCTTTGAGATATAACTATAATATTTAGAAAAAATATTTATCTCCCCAAGGCACAGATATATATTACTAAATCAAATAAATTATGCAACAAAATAAAATGCTTACTAAAAAGACAAGTTGAATTGTTAACATTTTCTAATATTTCATAAATCATTTAAAAATAAAATGTCTTCATATTAGCAAAGCAGGAATTAATTCTTGACTAATGTTTTTTGAAACATTTTTGTGTTAGGCATTCAATAATGTATTTCTGTATATGCAGAAAGGAAGATAGTTTACAGGCTGAAATTGTGACAGATCAACTAGAAGTATACTAGAAAAGGATGTGGCGCTTAATGAATACTAAAATAATATGGAGTGAAAGTTGAATATAAATGGAAAATCTTTAACAGGGTGGGTAGATTAAATCACTAAGGATGTTGTGCAGGGAGATGGTATCATATACATGTCTGTTCAGAAGTAAGTTCCTTTGATTTTGATCAGACTTACTACCACATTGAATTGTAGCCTAAGTCAAGGTTTTACATTTATACTTTAGATAAATTCTTTTAAAAGTTCAGGATGCTTGCTTCATTAATCCATGAAAACATTGCTTTACAACTTAATTGAGCCTGTATTTGCTGTACTACAACTCTCAGTTTCTTCACTATATTTTAATCCTAGAAAGTAAACGATGATCAATTACATGATACATAAATTACAATTTCTTATGACTTGAATTGAAGTGTATTTGGAAGATGACTATAAAGTAATTGTTTACACAAGAACATTTTGGATGATCTTAATATGATCCAAGTGGTTTTTTATGGTTTTAGGGGTGGGATGGTGTACAGTCCCTTACTCTGTCACAACCCTGCAATTTAAAAAAAAGATATATTTTCCCAATAATGTGCTTTACTTTAGTAGCATATATTTTACCAGTGATTGTTGTTGTTTTTTTTACATAGCAAAAATTATGTTTGATGTTGTGATACTGGTATTTTGATACTGATCAGTTTAAAATGTGTTAATTTTGATTTATACATGCTTATATTTCTATAACATGGTAAGCTAGAATATTTTGAAAGGAATTACTTTGCTATAGCTGAAATTACAAAATAAGACAGATTTTTTAAAAAGTTTTAAAATAGGTTTATTTGTGCTGTAGTTGGCATTTGGATGGAATTTCGGTACAATACTGCTTTTTTGCTGATTTTGAATATTCTGGGTTACAGGTGCTAGATGGCTTGACTGATTTGAAACTAACAACACACTCCTCTCTTTGAATTTTTCTAGTCTTTCAGGATACAAAACAGTACAACTTGCTTCATTGATTAGGTTCTGATTTCATAACTGTGAACATTAAACATTAACTGAAATCTCAAATTAGACAGTAAATCCTGGAACAAACTATTGTCATAGCTACCAATTTTAATCCTAAATCAGAAGTACTGAAGTAAAATTATATCCGTTTGCAAACTGGTAATGTTACCTTAAAGTGTGCGTGTTCTTTGTTGAGTGACCAGATGAGATAATGGTTGAGCCTACCCTTAGTACTGAACAATTTGCCTACCTTATTTTGATAGCTAGATACCTGGTTCAGATTCCAAGTCAGTTGGAGTTGTATGTGTATGTAGTGAATAGACTCACACATTGCACTAAGACTGCCTTGTTAATAGGCTACCATGGGTTACTTGTTCCCTGAACAACCCAGACTACTACTTGCAAATAATTGTGCTTGTCACGGCTTGTTCTCTTATAATCCTCCTGCTGGCTCCAGCACATATCCCAGGTGGCTTTGTGACAACAAGGAGTTCTGCTACAGTCTGTACATCAGCAACCTTTCTTCAGTTGATTTGCTGGATACCAAAGAGAACCCCTTCCTATATCAGCCAAATAAAATTACATTTCAGAGTACATAAATGCAGAAATGTATATGTTAGCATGTGGGATTTTTGCATCTGTGCAAGACAAGCTATTTGCTATTCAGCTCAGTATATGGTTATCCTTCTCTTGTTAGTGTCTTAAACCAGCATCATCCTGCATTTTAGAGCTTGCCACTTTAAGGGTAGCTTCCTTTCACACTGAAGTAAGAGTACCTGCTGTCAAAGTGCTTTTTTGAGCCGTTTTTGGCTTCCCCTAGTTCCTACTTGCTTCCTTGCTCCATTGCTAGCTCTCATTAGCAAGCACCTTAATTATACTCTGATGTAAGAGCACCCCTATGACAAAGTGCTTTCCTTCCAGCTGCTTTTGGCTTTCTGCTCCCTTTTTTGTTTGTTGTCTCATTTTATTGCTAGCTGTCACATCTTAATACTGATTTTTAGGAACAGATGGAGCTGAGAAGGGTAAAGGAAGATGATGGTAGAATGAGCAAGATCATGAGATGCAGCATGGGGTTTGCTGCTCTAGTCTGGTAGAGCTCTGTTCTTGGTAACCCACAATAAATGCACCTTGCTAGGTTCAGACAACACAACAAACCACCTGAGGTATCAGTCATAAAACAAGGTGGAATTTTAGGATGACTAATTTGAAAATATAAACCACAATGTAGTTAAGGTTCTGGATTTGTATGAATGACAACCCACTCACATTCCAGATCTTCCTGCCTTTCCTTAGTTCCTGATCTCTGCATTTTTCTCTGTACTTGCCACTGTGGGAAGGATGAGCTTCCCAGACTTACACTAATTGTTGGATGGCTGCTTTTGATCACCATCACTTTTGCTGCCTGTGCTAGTGCCCAAAACCATGCCTATAGGTCTTGCTGTTTGGTAGCTGCTATCGATGGGGTAATTTCTAGGTGTCTCAGGACAATGTACAGTTCTAACCATGAACAACCCATGGTTTGTTGTTGAATTGTAAATTGTGGATTCCATCTTGGCTGAGTTCGGGCAACATAATCAACATTTTAACAACACATGGTTCAGCTACAGCCACATACTCAGCCCTTGAATATGGGTAATTGTGTTGTCTGATAACAGTCACTAATGTGTCAACATCTTATTTGACCTCACTATCTGTGAGTGTGTAGCTATGTGTTACATCCCCTGTTAACCTAATCTTCCATAGCAAAGATGCAGTTGCAGAGATTTATTGCTTTAGGCAGATGATTTATTTATTGGGCAGATGATTAATGAAGGATAAATGATTACATAATACCTTATTAAGATTAAATGCATTGAAGATTATTTTTCCATACTCTCACAACATATACATAAGCATTAGTATATTTAAATAGGTAACTATGTGCAGCTTCTGTGTGACTGTTAAGATTGCATGTTGTGAAAGAGTGGTGAAATATTTGAGTTAAAGCAAACAATGTTCCTGTTTCTCAAGCTGCAGTTTTTAATATTTTCTTCACAGCTTGGCTACATGTTCTTTCTGCTCTCCTGTTTTAAAGAAAAATAGCTTTACCTTTACAGGCATATCTTGTGCCTCTTGACTGAACTTCCAAACAAATTACAAGAAATTGTGTTCTCCAGAGCCCTAGATTTAACTTTCTACAACCTTTGGTTGGGACATTGCTCACCATAGAACTTCAACTTTCATGGGTTTAACTCGCACTTATTTGATTATTCATGAGTTTGCCATCAATAAATGAATGGGAATTTTTTTGGAGTTTTGTGACCTTCTGCTTAATGCTCCACAGACAGCCATGCAGGGAACTCTCCTTCCTGGCTGCAGCTGGCCTGGAATGGTATGCTGCCCTCTGCTGAGGATGGGGCAGATGCCAGACTTAGGATCAGGCATGTGACTAGATGTGAAGCTCACAACACAGGATAAGCTCCCCTAGAGCAGGCTGTGCTCTGGCGCATTGGGTCTTATTTTAAGCTAAAGGTTATTCAAATTGCAAAAAATGCAATTATAATTAAGATACCAGTACATGTATGGTTAACAGTTTTAAGAGTTAAGGTTTAAAGGGGCCTTAGAGATTTTTCAACTTGCACTGGGGTCCTGCACACCCACAAATGTGGATGGCCTACTGTCATGGTATGGATTGACTTGAGAGGTTACCTTTTTGATTTGTTTAACAATAGCAGGGAAACTCTCCACACATTTGGGAGGTTCAATATGGAATATTGTAATTTAGCTGAAGTATGGTGTAGAGCAGCTTTGTGTGATAGCCCATACTTAGTCTGTTTGTTACCTTAGTTCTGCTGGTATACTGTTTCCAATAATAGTGGTTACATTTATCATGTTTCCATTCAGAAATGTGGCCATCTCTTACCATTCTGCTTTTTTGTTTCTTACCACATCACAAGAGAAATGGATTTCTAATCCTTATAAATAAATTGCTATAAAGCATTGGAAATAGGTACTTCATTTTAAAAATAGTTAAAGTACATGCTTGATATGAACTCTTGAAATGCATGTTAATATCATATTGTGATACAGTGACTTTGTAATATTAGTATATGTATTTCTTGATAATTAACTACTGGGTGGAAAGTTGAAAACGCTAAAGTTTAAGATAGCCTGCAGAAAGTCATCACATGATTCACTGAAAATTTTGGCCTAGGATTTTGTTAATTTTCCCTACTTAATCTAATGTCTGTTGAGTTAATCCTAGATACACCTACATTTGGCTTTGGGTACAATGCTAGTACAAATGGTTATCAAATCACTTTTTAGGGGGAAGTTGAGCAAATAGCAATGATGAAACCAAAAGGACAGAATGAGCATGATGAAGGGATGCTTGAATATTTAGAAGACATAATTGGATCTGGACGATTAAAAGAACCCATTCATATATTATGTCGAAGAGTTGAAATATTAAATGAACAGAGAGGTGAGAAGGTAAGACCTTTGGATTCTTAATTGTTGATTTAAAATGGCAGGATAATTTTTAAAGTCAGTTTTTCTGTTCAAATTTGGGCAGTGCTATCCTGTACCTAGACAATATCTAAATGGCCTATTTGGAATCCCAGCTCTGATCTCAGCAATTCACTCTGAGGTTGAAGCTGCTGCTTGTTTGAGGTCACAAATGCAATGTCAGAGAACTATGAGGCCAACTTAAAGTTCCAGTGGGTGGGGAGGAAACTATATGTAGTATCTTGGGGGCAGCTTGGCTCCTTCCCTCATGTCTTAGGTGTTAACATTGAGAGCCAGCGTGAAGTAGTAGTAAAGAGAAAAGGACCCCATAGTTAGTATGCCTTAGCTGTCATAGAGCTTTCATCTCATCTACTTTGCTTAATCTAATTTTTGTTTGTATATGAATAATTGTTGCCTAATTTTATCATTAATTACTAACTATTCTGTCAAGTTGAACAGAGTTAAAATGGTGGAAAAGGAGAAAGATGCCTTAGAAGGAGAACAGAACAAAGCCCTTGAATTTCTTTGTTTGGAGAACAAAATGTTCAAAGAAAAGAATAAGATATATCAATACTATATGTAAGTAATGTCATTTGAGAAGAACTGTAACTGTGAAGGTGCAATCCAAAACAAATGAAATATTCTTAGAAGTATAAATCTGTATGTTCCCTATAATTTGAGACTGCAGGTTGGAGAACATAAGAGAAATCAAGTTGTTCTGTGAAGCATTCAGTGATTAATATCATTCCATAGTTATAGAGCCCCCATCCTGTTTTGTTCTCATGTATGCATTTTATCTAGTTTCTTCATTAGTTTTTGAAATTTTATCTTTTCTAGTAAACGGCACTGACAAGTTGTTGACTGGAAGGGTAATTCAAAAATAATCTCAATAAATATATTTGGGCTAGATACATTTTGTCAGAATGTATTCATGCTGATTCTTCTCCACAGTACAGTAAAATATATGCTGACTGGATTTAGATTTTGTTGTACCGATACTGCATTGAAATTAGTATGAAGTCATTACTTCAATCTGATTTCCTTTGGAAGTAATGCAGGCAACGTAGCCTGGCTCTAACCCCTTGTTTTTGGATTCAAGCAACATATTGCTGGTCATCCTACATAATGTAGGCTTGGGAGGAATGGTATAAAAAACATTAATTGGGGGTATGACAGATTCAGAAAGTAAGTTGCCAAAATTTTCAGCAAATTAACTTGGAAGGACTAGTAGAAAGGCTATGATGGAGCTTCCTTTCAGCTTAGCTTGACTAATGTAATGCCATATAGATCTGATGTTCCTCATGGACACTAGTCCTTCTGCCAAGTCATGTTCCCCCTCTGCAAATGAATTAAACAATTTTACAATCCACTCATATTAGGGAGAGGAAAAGTTATCTATAAAAAAATGGGTCAGCAGGAGTGGAAAGTCTTTTTCTGTTGCTAAGGCCCCTTCTATCAACATGGTTGGGGGTGGCCAAGAAGGGCCCTAGATCTCAAGTCAATTTGCCACATGGGACTTTCCTCTTTTTTATTAAAGTGAATAATAGAGTGATATATTTGTGTATGGGGTTATCCTTATTGAAAAATGAGTGGAGGCTGTGCAAAAACATCACTGACTAAGAGTCCCTGAGGCAACAGTGCCCTTGTCTGGGGGGTACCTTTCCTACCACCATCTTACTTTCACCTGAGATACTTTTTCCCTAATTTTGAGCAATTCTTCCATTCTCTTGTGTAAGGGAAAGTAAGCCCTCCCTAATGAAAAATGACTTTGGCAGAGTAATGGTCCTCCCCTTACCACAGCTGCTTAGAACAATAGGCTCCTCAAAAGTCAGTTTCTCAACTTTTTTATCATTGTAGTATTGCACATATTTTTATTAGTTGTGCAAATAAATAAATTACTGCATTCACTTTCATGAGGATGTGAGAAGATGAGATGGAGAAAGCCAGAAGAAAGAAGCATATGTAGAGATTACATATTCATATGTGCACATAAGCATATCTTGGTATTTTTTATTTGGCTCTTCACCACCTAAAACTACCAGGTATTTGATTTTATTGATTGTGAGCCATCCCGAGATGCCATGCATATGGGACGGCATGTAGAAGTTTTAATAAATAAAAATAAAATGTTTAGTGGCACCCAGGATACATTTTTCAAAATTCTTAAAGCTTCCACGGGTCAGCAAATGTTGGGGAAACTTGTTGTAGGATGTTGCTTATGTTACAGCAGTGAAAGAGCCTATCTTTTTGACTGTTCCACGTTCCTCTTAAATTCCCATTCTACCTTACTTCACCTTTTAACTGCTATAGGGGAGAATGGGGCTTCACCTAAGCTTCTTAGACACTATCCAGGTCTTGCCTTGTTAGGTTATTCAATCTGAAAACATTTTGTTTGAGGGGGGGGCTTATCCAAGTTTTAGTGACTGCAGAGTGGTAAGCTGCTTGCGATGCAAATACCCTTAATATAATTAGTAACAAAGTTGTGCAAGTTTCTCCTTGACTATCTTCAAGTGCTCTTAAGTTCAATAAAGTAACCTTATGCGTAATAACCATGACTACTGCACTTCTACCAGTCATACAATGGGGAGATAGCACAACTTAAAACAATGATAGAAATCCTAGTCTCCAGATAAGAATTTCCCAGTCTTTCCCTATTTGTGTGCTCTGCTGACCCACTTCATTCTGGAAATGAATTAATTCACTCATCTCCAGTTGCTTTAAAAATTGCTAGTTTGTTATTGAGCTTGCCATAAGATCCTGCTAGTGCATAAGATACTGGTTTTTATTCTTTTTTATTACTAGTATATAATTTCAGTATATTTAAGGTGTCTGATTTTTTCCAGTTATGAATTACAGAAGTGGATAACAGATCTGGAAACACAGAAGGGAAAAATACACGAGGACACTAAAGAAGTTAATGAGAAAAGCAGTAAACTGGCAGATGAAATGAAAGATAAGAATAAAGCTCTGAAAGAAGTAGAAAAGTAAATATTAATAGTTTGCTGTTTTGCAAGTGTTTGAACTAGTAATGTTCCAACTCCTGCTGTTGTTATGTATTTTATGAAATGAGTATATTTTTCATCTGTTATAAAATTGAAGAAAACCAGCATATAATGCTGTTGTAAATGTTTGCAAAGGTTCTTAGTGTACTTTTCTTTTTTAGGAAACTTAATAAAATTACAGCATTTATTGAAGAAAATAAAAACAAATTCACAAAACTTGATCTAGAGGATGTTCAAGTAAGGGAAAAACTAAAACATGCAAAAAGCAAGTCAAAAAAACTAGAGAAACAGCTTCAAAAGGATAAAGAAAAGGTATATCTTCTAAATGTCTGTTATTGATTATGAAATTTTAAGAAAATGGTATTGAAATCAAGGTGATTTTGAAAATGAGTGGTGTTTATGTTAAATACTTGAAATATGTTTTCACATGTGTTAAATTTGGATGTTAGTGTTATATTTTGAAGGTTTTTTTTATTTCAAAAAATAACACACCATACAGTCACAAATTTTATATATTAACACATTTATTGATTTTCTTTAAAGTGGATATCTGTCTTACTTGTATACAGCAACTTGGAACAGATTAAAAACAAAACAAAATGTTTAGAAATATTCTACCAGAACCAATAAATACATAAATATTAGTCAGGCTGTACAATCAAAAAGTTCTGAAGGACAATGAAAAACCTTGTTGTCTGAACCACTCAGATCTCCTTGAGCAAGAAGTTCCATAACATGGATGCTTCTGCAAAGAAAGCCCTCTCACACTTTCTTAGCTTCTTTGTATGGCAATATGAATAACTTAATCCAGGCTGATGAATTGTATGGACTTAATTATGCCCATATTTGGAACAGTACCAACATTTTAATGCATTTACTCTGTTTGAGAAACACAGTAACTTGTGATTGCTGTCACACACACACACACACACACACACACACACACACACACACACAATTCTTTTATACATTCTAAATGCCTGTAGGTAAAATATATTTAAATCTGATTATTTCAAATTATTTTATGGATTGGCTAAAATATGCAATCAAAATTGGTATGATGTGGTTAGGATGCTGGACTGGGGAACTTGGAGATCTGGGTTCTAGCCCCACTCAGTCATGAAGTTCAGTTGGTAACTTTGGGCCAGTCTCAGACTCTCAGCCTAACCTAACTTATAGAGTGGTTGTTGTGGGGATAAAATGGAGCTATGATTTGCCTAGGGTTTTTTACAGAAAAAGGTGGGATATAATGTAATGCAATAATAATAGATTGGTTGTACTTTGGATGCTAACTTCATGTTACTAATAAAAACAAGATTTTGTGAGGGATTGTTTTGTTAGCTGAAAAATTGTTTGTGTTCTTAGGTTGAAGACTTGAGAAGTGTTCCTGCTAAATGCAAGTCTGTTATCACTGAAGCAACATCTAGGCAAGAAATTTTGGAAAAGGAAAAGGAAGTGGTAGAGGAAAATCTGAAGAAAGTTATGGATAGCCTAAAGCAGGAAACTAAAGGACTGCAGAAAGAGAAAGAGGTTTGTATCAATACATTTGATGCATTGTGCCTGTTCTAGAGCCTATTATTGGCATAATAAAGCAATTAGCCTTCTGTGTATCTTTTCTCTGTAAGAACAATATAGGAACCTTTGCTGTTTCATTTCTGTCTTAAGATGTAGTCAGGTGGAATGAGTGCTGATGCAAGTTGTTCTGGAAACAGTTTTAATCAAATAGACAGGACATAGAATGTCTCATCTTTCTTGTATTGAGGCATCAGGGAGGAATAGCAACTGGTAGAGTTCTAGCAGTTGAGGTGGAATCATTACCATGTTAGTGTCCTTTAAATATTTCATTTTCTCATTTTCATAGGACAAAGAAAAAGAGCTTATGGAATTCAGCAAAACAGTTAATGAAGCACGTTCAAGTGTGGATGTGGCCAAGTCAGAATTTGATCTCTACCTTAGTCGTCATAATACTGCAGTAGCTCAGTTAGAAATGGCAAAAGAAGCTCTTCAAACTGCTTCAGGAACACTTAAGGAGAGGTTACCTGCTATCAAAGAACTGGAGTTAAAATTACCTCAAGCTGAATATGATCTAAGAAAGGTTAGATTTAATATTCTTCTTTTTCATGAGATGCCTAACTTCACATGTGGAGTTGCTGTTAGGGTAGGTAGAAATGCTCAGTGTTAGACTGTCAGAATCATTGCAATCAGAAGGTTGCTGGTCAGAACCCACTGTTAAAATCTCTAAATACACTCTGTACTTGTCGACATAATAAGAAATGATATCGTAAGACTAGGTGTATACAAAGGATTTTCTCCCCTCCACTGATAGATGAAAGTGCAATTATTTTACAAAATATTTGAGTGTAGAATAGACATAGGTTGCCATAACATTATATGGACAGTTCTGAGATAATGAAGTTTTGAAATTTTGTAATGTAACTTTTATATTTTGCTATTGTTTGTATGTACTCTATTGTATGTGTTTTCAAGTGCGCAAGAAGCTTTAGCTGTTGGGTGGTAGAGAAAATGAATAATGGTAGCAGCAGGCCCTCTGGTCCCTGGGCTAAGATCCCCCCCTCCCCACAGTGCTCTCAATTTACCCTCCAAACAGCCAGGCATAGGATTTAGTACACAGTTCAACTAGGTTTGGGCAATAAATTAGGTTTAATAAAAGTTTAAAAAGATAGGGGTGGAGTTAAGGGTAAAGGATGGAATTTAAACAGTTAAAAAAGGGGGGGGAAGGATGGGGGAGATTGGAGAGAGCAGTTAGGGATGCAAAATAAGCAGGCTACATATCCCCCAAGACCCCAGTGTCTGAGCAAGAAAACAAGAAAGCTAGCCATCCTTTATACTAACACTACAAACTACCTATTTGTCAATGAAACGTGGGGAGCCTCCAAGAGTGAACTGGCGAAACAGCAAATAGGTAGCAGACCAGGACCCCCAAAGAACAAGAAGGTACCCAATTTGTCTTATCCCTAATCCTTTATTCCCTCTCAGCTTGTCAGCTGACCTGCAGAGTGATAGCTCCTCTCCCAATCTTGTCCTGCCCACTCCACTTGCCCTGTCAGTTGTAAACCATTCCACCCTGGCATCTCCAGCATCCTTGAGTTTTCAGCTTTGACAACAGCAAGTTGCAAAAAACTTCATAGTCCTTGAAAACCAGGGGCAAATATCTCCCTGGGACTCCCTGTGATCCTGGAGCCTCTGGTCTTTGAACTTTTATTTTGATCCTATCCAGACCCGGAGATCTTAATTCTTTACATGCATGGTGACAATAATTCAGTTTCCAGAGTGGTAAGTGTGCCATTCTGCTAGAGCAAAAACAAGAAATCTTGTGGCATCTTAAAGACGTAACAAATGTATGTGATAAACTGGACAGTGTCCACACAAAACTTATGCTAGAATAAATGTCTTAGTTTAGGTGCCACAAAACTCTTCGTAGTATTTTCATTTAATTCAAGTGGGGACATACGTGAATCTTGTTTAATATCTAAATTAGATAGTCACCACAAAAAACAAATAATTTTAGGCAGTAAAAATATGTATGCTCCTTATATGGGTAACAAATGAATTTTGGATTTGAGTGTAGAACATATTATACACTAGAACCATCAGTCTTCTCTGTTTAACAAATAACAGCAATAATAACTGAGATACTAGGTAACGTTAATACTAAATAACAATAACTGGGATACTAAGTAGCATGTTCTAGAGTAGTCACTAGTGAATTGAGATCCATTCCTCTGTATATAGCAGGGGTGGCCAAATTTGCTCAACAGAAGAGTCATGTATGGTAAATGTCAGATGTTTGAGAGCTGCAGGTGGATGCCTGTGGGCAGTGAGCTGCAAAATAAGAGCTCCATGTGGCTCCCAAGCCTCAGTTTTTTAGCCACCCTTGGTATGTAGCTAAATCACAGATTAATTCTGCAATCTTATATATGACTTACCTGTGATTAAGTCCCACTGATTTTACCGGGGACTTCTGAGTTTATATAGCATTGTGCTGAAAAAGTGCAATTAAAGAGGTTGAAATTTGTAGCGGAAGCATGTATAAATAATCAAATATTCATAGTGGTACCTATTTGAAAGCTAAATCCTGCCCATGAATTTCTTATACAGTATGCATTGAAGGCTTCTGTGTTGAAACTTCCTTCAGTTTATCAAGGAAGGGAAGCTCTGCCAAAATCTCAGTTAATCATTTATGTTTCTGATGAAGAACAGGCAAGGGCTAATGCCCAGAATGTGCTTTTTTGCTATTTGCACAATTGTATTAGATTTTCAGATACAGTTAGATTGTACTTTAGAGTGATTGCTCTGAAATTTTTGTTGATAAAGACAACTTTACATACAAATGATTAGACAAATGCATGCAGCAAGAATGTGTGTGTGTTTGTGTGCTAGACATAATTTATTTTAGGAGTGTGTTTTATTTGTAGAAATTTTACAATTATAGTGAACTTATTGTTGGTGACTATACTTAGGAATTATTTAAATATACCTTTAAACTTGGTTCACAAGCGGGAGGACTATTTATTTGTAAGTAGGGGATAAATTAATCCAAAGGGGTACACAAAATCAAAATGTGCAAAATGAGACTCTAATTTAATTCACTGGGACAAAATGATTCAAAACTTTTTAGAAGACCTAACATTACCGTATTCAACAAGATGGTGCTGTTAAGTAACACTCTAGCTGAGAAAAATTGTCTGTCGTATGTCATATCCTGAAGACTACTTCATTACAGAATGCAAAGTGATTATGTAACGTGAGGGAACAAATCATATCGTATAGAATATGTATGTCTGTGAAAGTTTAAGTAAGATTTTGGAAAATCTAGGAATTTTTCATCATGTGCATTACTTTACTTATGTCTTTTCTACTCAAAATTTTCATAGTCATTGGAATTCTCATTTCCATTAATTGTGATTGCAGTTTAAACAGGTGGGACTCTTAAATCCCATAATGGAGTTTTTCCATTTCATTTATCTTGTTCTTGTTAAATATTTCTGTTTGTTTAATCAAGTAAGTATTGCAGCTGATACAGGGTGAGCAACCTTGGAGGGAAAAAATTGATTTCTCTCTTTTTAAGAAAGAGAATGAACTTGACAAACTTTTAAAAGAGGAAGCAGACATCAAAAAAGATGTTCAAGATCTGCGTCAGAAAGTAGAAGAGGCAAGAAGTTCACTATCAGTAAATAAAAGTAGAGGAAAAGTTCTTGAAGCTTTAATGCAGCAGAGGAAATCTGGAAACATACCTGGAATATATGGAAGGCTGGTAAGCTTTTATTTTTCTCTACATTGTATTTCCTCATTTCTGCTTCCCCTTTTGTTGGATAGACCTTCCGAGAAGAGATGTGTATTGGGTGAGAAAATAATTGGCAGAGGTAATTGCCATTCTTGTTTGTAGAACTGGATCCTTAAGTCATTCCTACCTTGTGAGAGGAAGACTTCATTGAGGTAAACATTCATTTCTAAAGAAGTAGCAATAGCAAAAGCACCCCCAAAATTAGCAAAAATGCCAAGAGTACAAAATGGAACAGGTAAGCAAAGCTCCCTTCTGCCAATTTCATTGACCTGTCCAAGCATGTCCTCTTTCCAATTGCTTCAGGGATAGCTATCTTATTGTGGCAGCGGTCCCACTAATATGTGGCCAGCACTGAATGCCCTTTAATCCTATTCAAAGATAAGGGAGTGGTGTGTGTGTGCTTTGCTGAAGATCTTAACATTAGACTCAGTTCAGTTATAGGTATCCAGTTCTACAGTCATGTGGCCATAAGGCTTTTCATTGAAAGACTTTAGTTAGCCAGCATTCTAAGGTCTTACTTTTTCCAACATTTTATAAAGATCCAGCTGATTGTTTTTGTTGAGTCATCCAGGCACTGAATCTCTGAGAGGATTCTCCCATTGTTGAACTCACACAGGTTTAAACATAATATTCTAATTGTAGGGGTACCTTTTGAAAGTCTTAATGAAAACTTGTTAAAATGGCAGCAGGATTGTCCAGGATTGCTGTTTGCAATCATTCTCATTTAAAATCTATCCATGTGGTGAGATTTTGTTTTGTCCTATAAGGATGGTCTCATTGTGTGGTAGTATCCCTGCCCCTCCTGCCTGGATGCTCAATGTGCCTATGTAGGTTGTTGCCAATGTCCCCTTTGAGCTAATTATTAACTTCACCCAAATTTGGCTGTTTTGAGAAGCATGAAATCAAGTAGATTTGTGTGAAGATTTTCAGTAGCCTGCCCACAACTCCCTCTTAGTGATTCTTTGATCCTGTCCATCTTCTCTTAGTTCTCCAGGTTCCTGGATAAAGTTATGTCCCAAATCAGTCCATAAGAGGTATTGGTTTGATGTTGAAAAGCCATGTACATTTTTAAGTCCATCAGATTTTAAAGCTCAAGACAAATTTAAGTTCATTTGAGTCAACATAAATCAATAGGTGTATGCAAATCAGCTTGGGCTTTGGCTACTATCTTCGTATTTCATAATTTTATTTGTGTGTTTAGGGAATTTAGAGGCAAAGAGAGTGACTGCATGAAAAGTTTATTTAGTAAGAATGCTTACTTGAAAGTTACATAAAAATCAGTGGGACTTGCATACAAGTAAATGTGTAAGGATTAGATATTAATGGTTATTTTTGTCTTATGTCCTAAATACTATTTTTTTTTCTTTTGTGCAATAGGGTGACTTGGGAGCCATAGATGAAAAGTATGATATTGCAATTTCATCATCGTGTGGAGCACTGGATCATATAGTTGTTGATTCTATCGATACAGCTCAAATATGTGTTAATTTCCTGAAGAAACAAAACATTGGAGTGGCAACTTTCATAGGGCTTGACAAGGTTTGTATTAAATTTTGCAAGCTGATGATTAATAATTTTTATACTGGAGAATCTAAACGTTAAATATATTAGATTCAAATTGACTGAGTTTGCCCAGCACAGCAACCTATTGTGTATATCTAGCCATGGTGGATTGTCATACTGTCTGAATTCAGACTGCTTCCCACAAGATGGATTATTTTAACTGAAGACTTGTTCTGGGGCTCTTTGATTCACAGTCAAAGAGTTGTGTTGTTCAGACCTGGCAAACCTACTTCATTAGGCCTTGTTGAGGAACAGCCACTTAGTCTTGGGGAGAGAGCAGCCAAAAACATTACTGCTCCTCTCCTTGTGAGTGATCGTACTTCCTGAATTCTGACTAGTAGCATACTGTGCTGCTGCAGCTTTCATCTTCCTTCCTGGGGGATTTTCTTACCCACCCTCTAGCAGTCTTCTGCTTTCTGTTTTTTTCCCCCCTTGCCCATGTGAGCAAGCTATTTGTAATCTGCACAGTGACCTTGAAGGAGCGTTGTTATTCTGCCAACTTCTGCTATGTCTTCATGTCTCTGTTCCTTTGCCCATGTACAGCATTGTTTTTCAAAAGATTCACCAAGCGAAAACCCTGCTCTTCACTGAAATTATTTAGTCATTTGACACTTTGTATTGCATGATTACTTAACACAATGTCATGTGTAAAATTGCTTCATGTTTGTGCCTTATACAAATATTGGTATTAACACCACCGGCTTTTTGATGAAATGCTCCCACTGTCATAGATTTTTCCTAGGAACTGAAGTCCTAATCTCTCCTCTCTTGTAACAGCTGTCCCATTGCAAAGGATATGGTAACAATTGCTGCAACATTTGCTCCATTTCAGTCCACAAAGTTTGCTTTCTAAAGAAATTTGCTGACCATATGACAGAATAGATCTTGTATATGAGGCAGACAGTGAGCCTTTAACACCACTCCTCAGAAGATTGCTCCATGTAAGCATTGGGGGAGTTGGGTTACTTTGCACATGAGGTTCTGGCTGACCTGGAGGTAAAGAAACAGTATGATAATTTGAGTGCATTTTTGAATGAGGTTGATCTGTGTATATTCATAGATTTCTGGATATGCACAGAGGCCTAGGATAGTTTACTGGGTGCTGGCACTTTTCTACTTTGATCTTTCTCTTACATTTGAAGCTGTAGCATGGAGTCAGGCTTCTCTGTTTCTTCTAGTGTGCAGAAATGGATAGAGCTAGCAACAGTAACACATGCTCTGGTAACCTCTTGGTCAGATTATTGTAACATGCTGTATTAAGAGCTACCCTTGAAGACAGTACAAAACGGAGCAGCCAGGCTTTTGGCAGGGACGACCATACAACACTAGTCCTGTATCATCTTCAGGGGCTACTGATTGAATTCCGACCCCAGTTCAAGGTATTAACTTTGACATATGAAGTCCTAAGCAGTTTAGATCCTGGATATCAGAAGGCACATCTCCTTCCATATACACCTGCCCGAGCCTTAAAATCTTCCATGGAGGGCCTTCTTCAAGAACCCTCTTTGAAGGAGGTTAGACAAGTGGTTACCTGGGGAAGAGCCTTTTCTGCGGTAGCGCTCTGGCTGAGACCTGCTTCCCAGAGAGGTGTGCCTGGGACTGATGCTTTATTCATTTTGACCCCATGCCAAATCATTTTTATTCACCCAGTATTTTGATGTTTGGTGACATTTTTAAGCCAAGAATGTTATTACATGTTTTTGTATTGCACTTCATTTTTAATTGTGCTGTTATAGTTGTGACCCATCTTGAGACCTATTTGGCATAGATGGGATATAAATTTCTAAATAAATAATAGTGACTGTATTGCAGGCTATATGGCCTGATGTGGGGCAACAAAAGAGTCCACTATAGGACCTCAGGTTGCTTAGGAACTTAGAAACTTAGGAACTTAGGAAAGAGCTCTGCAACGGCATATGCAGAGAGGGGCAGACTCGGAGGGATAGGCAGGAGAAGAAATTGCTGCAGTAGCTTATAGGGATATGACGAAATTATGGAGCTTGCCCTTGGTGGCCTTGCACTTCTCTTTGCAAGGCTGCTGTCAAAGCACATAATACCTACTTGTTACTGGTGACATATTGATTCCTTTTAGAATATCTAAAATCCATTTAGAATATCTAAAGCTGACATGCCTTTGCCTTCTGACTCACCCAGTGAGTGAATGCTGCTACCTCTTGTCTGAGTTAACCAGGTAGCCAAATATATATTTATTGGCTCTTCTGTGTTCCACATTAATTTCCTTGAAAAGACTGCTTGTGTGCCTCATTGCCACTTCAGTACTGCTGATTTGTGCAAGCCGTACCCAGTTCTACACTTATTGTGGACATGCCATTGATTGGTTAGAGGTGGCTTCTCCTTCACTGGTTCTCCAGGCTCTTCAGTTGCTTGTCTTGTTAGCTGCAGTGGCTGCTTAGGCTGCATTTTTTCATGGGCAGCCATGCCTTCAGCATCTTCCTCCACAGCTTTCTCTCTGGGAAAGCCAAGGAAAAGCGATGACTTAGCCATGTGAAGAGTCATATGAAGCTGACTAGTGATTGTGCACCTACCTTTACCCAAGACAGCTTGGAAAGAAGTGTCTCCTGCAAGCTTGCTTCCCAGATTTTCAATTGTTCACTGATACAATACTGTGTTGTGATTGCTGCCCCTGCTTTACCACCTGCACTGGCTAGGTGACTGTCTCTGGAGAAGAAGGAGCAGCGCTATAGGACAGATCTCCATACCTACCACATGGGTGTCTGGTTCCAAATGCAAAAGCATTCACACTGCTTCTGAAATGGCCATGCCCAAATCTTTACTTTTCTGTAGAACATCTGTAGTTTCTTGTTGCACAGCTGCCAATCCAGTTTTGTCATAGCAGAAAGAAACCCGGTTTCCGGGTTATGAACATTTGAGTTAATGAACAAGCCGTACTTAAAAATGAACTGCCATAAGGCCTATTAATTTAAAAAATTAAGTTAAAGAACTACTATGGAAAATTGTCATGGGGGAGCAATAAGGGGAAGAGGGAGGGCCTCCAAAGCATGCTTTCTTGCCTCATCTGGAGAGGGAAGTCCCTCCAGCATTTCCTTGGTACAAAGACAAGGTGCTGGTGAGTGAAATAAAATGTACTAGATGAAAAAGGGGAGCCCTTCTGGTTCAGACCAAATCTGAGGGAGTGGGGGAGAAGCAATCCAGTACAGATAGGGTCAACAGTATTGAAAGTTGGGGGGGGGGGGCACGCTGGAGATATTCATGGTTTTTCCACTATTGCTGGGGTCTTGTGCCCCTAACCCCTGCAAATGTGTAAGGCTGGCTGCTGTAACATGTAAGATGTTTTAGTGTACATGGAAGTGTTTAAGTGTTTTATGTGCATTGAAAGGTAATATATGTATACTAAGACAAACCTTTGACTTATTCATGCTAAATGTGACCTGTGCATATATGATCCAGCTTGCATACAAATTCAACTTAAAGATGTTCTCAGGAATGGAATTCATTTGTAACCTGGGAGCTGCCTATATTTTAAGCTGCTTGTAGCTATCTGGATGTGATGCTGTCTCAAAACAATAATTTCTTGGAGAACACAGGATGTAGGGGTATTGAAATTATTGCAGATGCAGTCCTGCATGGTTTGGGCATATGAGAGACAATGTCTGTGGAGGATAGGATTCAGCATGCCTTTATGTGCTTAGAGACTTGGATTGGGGACTGACAGCTTTTCATAGGCCAGTATCTAACACTGTACAGGTAGCTTGGGAATCCTGCTGCCAGTGGTACAACTAGGCATCATATCTATCCAACCTAGTAACCCACTAGCAAGTGTATCGCAGAATGACATATGTAAATGATTCCCCCCCCCCCCCCACCAAGCCCTTACCTTATTTCTTCAGCCCATGAAGCTTCTCACATGGCAGTGTGAAAATGAAAAACCAAGGAACCAGATTATTATGCCTGGAGTTTTCGAGGCTATTTTCTTCAACCATGCTAACCCCTCCCTAATCTTCTTTCCCCTGACCAATACCACTTTGCTTTTTCCATTTCACTTACCGTATTTTTTCGTGAAATTAGATGATACTTTTTCTTAAAAATACTTACCTTAAAATGGAGGGGTGTCTTATACATGGGGGGCTGAGAGGAGAACCACAAGCGTGCTCGGGGGAGACTGGCGTGATCACAGGCACACGTGGGGAGGCAGTGGGCACGTGCCCACAGCAGCAGCTTGCTCTCTTGGAGACTGGGAAGAAAAGTAAGGGGGGGGTCGTCCTATACATGGGGGCATCTTATGGACAAACAAATATGGTAGTATCATAAAAATCAACCAGAGCTGCTTTGCCAGCAATGGTTTTGAAGACAGCTTTGGACAGTTGAATGCTACATTGTTGTGACCTAGGCATTCCACTGGGGCTTTGGAATGTTTCATTTGCATGTGGCACCTGATTATGCTTAAAGTGTAAGACTGCCAGCACACAGTGTCTTAAGTGCAAAGCTGCATTTATGGCTGTTGTAGTATCCTTGGGATGTTGTGTTGTGTGATACAGCGGGGTTGAATTGTAATCACATGTGCAAATAATTATCTGTCAGCCTCTTAAGTTTTTGCTTAGATACCATGTTCCCACAATAATCCGCATTCTTAACATGATGGTAGTTCAGCTGTTTGAGAGTTGGTACCTACTTCTGTGCAGGTACCAAGACAGAACAAATGACATAACTGGTCTTTGAACCATGGCTAGTTTGCTGCAGCTCGTAGGCCTAACAGGGTGGAGAATGTGGTTTTTAGGTTGTAGTATACTACCTCCCCTTTGCCCGCCACCTAACTTGGAATACTTGTAGTGCTGACTTCCTGTAATTACCCATCCAATGGCCCAAAATAAGCAAAGTGCTGATTTTGATGCCTCTTGTCTTCAGCTACTCCTTTCTCAGTAGCTGAATGAGATGTGGCTGATTTCAAAGCACTTAATTTTTGTTTGGTACTGCTCTAAGAGCCCTTAGTGGTCAGT